ACATCTAAATCTGGATATAAAACATCCAAAGTGGCAACACTGAAGGCTGTGGCTTACTATAGTGCTCATAGAAAATGAAGAGATCTCACGGACAGACTAGTATGAAAGGGACAGCACTGGCATCAGACAGGGCGCCACAGACAGCAATGTTATGAAGATACAGCGGTAACAGAGCCAGAGGTCGACCACGCAAAACTGGACTGCACAAATATCAGATAGGCTCAAAAGTATTATATACAAAGCCAACAGAAGGGGTCCCAGATATCTCTTCTTAGCCTGACGCCGTAACGCATTCAAGGAGTAAAGAAAAAAATGTAAGTTGCGTATCCTTTACAGGACGTTGCAGAACCAACCCCGTCAGCCCCTGGCTGTTGTGTGGTTTCACTAGGCAAATTGGATTGCACGATAGCTTTCATAAAGGCTACCGGCCTCCTGATATAATTTTTCTGACAGAAGGATCGAAGAAGAAGACTAGGCAAATTTACGTCCAGTAGTTTGCCATTGCTTACTGGACGGTCGGCTCCCTGATACCACTGTCGAAACCAACGCAAGGCGTATGGTCCGCAGCTGGGATCGAACCCGGTACCTCGGCATTACGAAGCGTTCGCATTGACTTAGCCACAGAGCCGACAGTAAAGAAAAGAAGAAGAAAAAAGAAGTGAAGGCGGCGGGTGGTCTAATCATGATGATGTAACTCACACAACTGCCTTGCCTATCTGTGTGCCGACGCAACATTAGCAAATGTCGTTTTCATGGACGCAGTAGTTATTAGCGATGACTTTTGAAAGAAAGGCATAGTGACACACCGCCAGCCGTGAATATTTATGAATGGGAAACATCTGTTACCAGTACTCTAAGTCATATATGTTCACTGTGTGTAAGTGACACGCTGCAGTAGTTATTAGTGATGACTTTTGAAAGAAAGGCAAAGTGACACACCAGGAGCCATGAATATTTATGAATGGGACACATCTGTTCCCAGTACTGTAAGTCATATGTTCACGGTGTGTAAGCGACACGCTGCGGTTAGCATGTCCTTGGCCTTATCAAAGAACATCTGTTCCACGTCTTGTTTCTGTGTGGAAGGTGTGTTTTATACTCCGGTGGTTACAGCTGATCCACGACCGGCTCCAGCTGACCGGGATGCTCCTGACGTCGGGCTAACGATGCGTTAACGCAGCGGTTCTCAAACAAGACATAAACTCTTCTCGACAGTGGCGAGGGAAGACAACTTAAATGTTAACTTTTAAGTATCTACATGCCTTTTTTTTAAAAATAATTTCACAATTTCTATCCCACTTTTTATTATTGCCGCGGCACCCCTGGCATACGTCTACGGCACCCCGGGGTGCCTCGGCACCTAGTTTGAGAACCGCTGCGTTAACGCATCGTTAGCCCGACACGGTGACGTCAGTAGCATGGCCCGTCAGCTGGAGCCGGTCGTGGCCAATCTAACGCTGTGAGATAATACAGTTCCACTTATGTATTTATCATGCTATGCTGTTATTCGTCATTTAGTGTTTAGCAGTGTTGGTGTATATTCGTTGGCTTTAATATCTACTGCTAATATATCATCCGTATCAGCAACTTTCCCATCTTTCGGAGAGAGAGGCTGATAGCTTTTCAAATGTCCTCTGACGCTGTCAAGCTTCAATGTCCCACACACGCTTGCCTGCGGATCCCAAGGTCGTGGATTCCGGTCTTGAAGGAGTCGGACTTTTTTGTGTCTTAAAAAAATGATATAGACTCCCAAGTCGACCCAGTCTTAAATGGGTAACGGGTACAGGTCACGGTAAGTAAAGGCGGCCGACGTGATTGTTACTAAATAACTCACGGAGTGCTATGATATAGACTCCCAAGTCGACCCAGCCTTAAATGGGTAACGGGTACAGGTAACGGTAAGTAAAGGCGGCCGACGTGAAAAAAAAGGTAAAGTCGGCAGATGTGAACCAGCGGCATTGCACACGGTTATAAACCATAAGTGCTCTGTCACCAGTACGGACAGCTGATAAGAATTGTCCGCCTGTGTCGCCGCTCGCATGTAACCCTGTTCCTCCATTTCCTAGAGGCTGAGTGAACCCCGGGAGCCGCCCGGTTTCGAACACCGACCGTGGGCTGCAGTGAGTCACAGCCGGATTGGAAAGCGATCTTCTTATCGAATACGCTAACGCGGCTGACATAATGGTTACTAAATAACTCACGGAGTGCTGAGGTTTTTTTGTTTTGTTTTTTAATATAAGTGTAGAAAATCCAGAAAATGAGGAACTTTACTTTCCAGAGGAAGAATTAGATCCACACACAATAAATAAGCTTCTATTTGCAGACGATCAATATATGTTCTACATAGAGGGCAGCAGTCTTCAAGAAAATGTGAACAGGCTAAGTTCAACATGCAGAAGATATAAGCTGAAAATAAATACTACCAAAACTGAAGTCATGCAGGTCAGCAGAATTCCTAGTCCGCTACATATCTTGATGAATGGTACCTGTCTGAAGAAAGTTAACGAATTTAAATATCTAGGAAGTATATTCTCGGAGGATGGAAGAATGGATCGGTGGAAATAGAAACAAGATGCCAACGAACCAGTGCACTTATATACCAACTGACACCATTATTAAGACATCCAAACATAAGTATGAGCGCCAAGAACTAGATTATAAACATCATTTTCATACCAAAACTGTGCTACCAGTGCCAGACTTGGATATTATCAAAAGCTAACCTGCGTAAAATTAACAACTGTGAAATGAGACGCCTGAGAAAAGCCACCAACTTAACCTTCGGAGACAAAGTTAGAAATGATATTATCAGACAGACTGTAGGAACAACGCCATGCAAGCAGATTCATTGAAACCATGTGTGAGAAATACATGCTGCTGCTTCTTGCACAGTGCACGTAGTTCCACTGCAGATTCTAGTTAGTATAAATTTAAATAGTGTTAGGCAGTTAGTCTAACCCTCATTAGCGACTGTGCGGAGTTTCATTCGTTGCAGCCTTTGCTTCCCATCATAAAATGACGAAAATCGTCTGGCACACATTTGGGTCTACCCCACTGGAGTTTTCCACAGAGGGGTGGGGAATATCAAAGTGTCTACTGTTCTACATTTGACAATGTAAAAAGAAACAGCTGAACTTACGCAGCCAGAAGATCATTTGTTGGAACTTGTTGGAACTTCCAAGAACATTGTCAGCTGTATTCATATTTGTCTGACACATGAAATAGCATTACCCACTGAAAGCATAAACCAGCAGATGGTGTGGTGGCTAGATGTTAAGGGAGACACATGGGTTTCGAACATAATTATCTACAAGTTTGTTGTTTAAAGTAGCAGTAAGTGAAGAACGCTTTCGCACCAGTGGCAGATGGTGTGGTGTCTAGATGTTAAGGGAGACATATGGGTTTCGAACATAATTTTTTTTTTCTTTGAGACAACAAAATTGTCTAGAAGTTTGTTGTTTCAAGTAGCAGTAAGTAAAGAACGTTTTGACACCAGTGGCAGATGGTGCTAGAAATCATTTTTAATGGGTAAATCAGCACTCGACAGATGTAGGGGTCAAAACTGTGCCTACCACCTTTACACTTCACAGATTTTATGCTGTGTCAACATGGAAGTCAATATCAACTCAAAAAAAAAAAAAAAAAACTGAATGCAAAATTTGCACCAAACAAACAAACACAACCAAACTTAATAAAAGCGTATAAAAAGTCAGCATAGTGTAGATTTGAATTACATATGTTCACCTTAACAGGCAAAAGTCTAGCCATTATACTACCGAAACTCCCACGTTTGTTAATTATTTCAGGAACTAATGAAAACACCTATGTTAATGGATAACAAAAATATCTTGCAAGTTTTTAATAAATAATCCAAGAATAGATTCACTATTTACAGTTAGCTAGCTAAGTGACCAGCCACCACACTGACTCAACTTAACTATGCTCTGTCTTCAAGTCTATTTACTATATCCAAATTCAAAAGCTGTGGAAGCACTATTCCCAACTCAGATCCCAGCAATCACATATCTGCTGCATTGAATCACGACCTGGTTACAATGTCTCTCTTTAGCAGTGGAGTTTCGGTTCTGATTTTTCATGTCCTGCTGGTTTCTAGACCCAGAGAGGGGAAGGATAGCTCTACAACACAGCTTTTTCTGCCTTTTATCCCTGAAGGAGCACAGACCCTTAACTAACTTGTCCCAACCCATACTATAGTTTGCTGTCTCCTGCAGATCCACCCATATCCTTTCCATACTTCACACACACACACAAACTGCCAATTACTGTCTTTATTATACCACTTTTGTTGTGTAGACACGGGGTCTTTGAGCCTAATGATTTACGGCCGCAAAGCTAGTGCTGTCGCCACGACTGTGCAGGTAAGGATTTTATTTTGCCCCCGACATAAAAAAATCTCCAACCTTACTGAGGATTTGAACCCAGGTCTCCAGCTTGAGAGCCCAGTGTTCTAACTATCCGGCCAGCCGCTCCTCATACTTCTCACCTCTTATCTCTAACTTTCTTCTCCATGTGGTTTTAGAGCTCCCCAATCTTTTACTCTGTGAATTCCAGAAGAAGGACTTTCTATGTTACCAGATTTTCTTGATTCTATCCAGCATGTAAATGTAAGCTGAAATATGTTGGTCATATCAAGCGCCACGATGGATTGGAAAAAAATTATAGCAGAAGGCATGGTACCAGGAAGGAGGGGCAGGGGCTGACCGACACGAAGATGGGCACAGGATATAAGTGACTCCTTGAGTATGAAAGTACATGAGGCGGGAGAACTGGCGAGAGACTGAGTTTCTTTCAGGCAGACTGTGATGAGAGCGCCATTCTGCAAAGGAGCTGCTACATGATGGATGGATGTAAAGAAAAACATACAAAATAAAGAGAATATGTTATGAGTAGTTATCAGTAGTGTAATATTAATAAAACAGTACACTGAAACAAACAAACAAATATACAAGGAAATAGATAAATAAGAGACAATCACTTGCCTGAAATCCAGCATTGACATATTCGATGGGAAGTGTTTCAAATACTGGCCCAGTCGCAGTCTCTTGAGGTAGTCAATAAATGCGATGTGCTCCAAATTTTCCGACGATGACCGACCAAGGTTGAGGATTTTCGGAGAGCACGCAGATATTTTCCGGTGGGGACGGAGTGCCCTATCAACTGACGTGACAATCCGCAGCTGTCTGTTCACTGGAGTTGTCATCAACTGATCCCCTGGAATACGAGCCTCAGGGTCATCACTGAAATCTGTGCTTTCTCGTAACTTCCCATCCACAGAAGTATCATCGCTGAGATCATCAGCACCATGGAACTTTTCCAAACCGAAACTAGAACGAGTACTTCCTGGAGAGAAGTCTGAAGAGGATACTGAATGCATATCTTCAGAATCCTCTATGTTATTATCTCTGGCAAGATTTCCTCTGGACAAATATGATATTCCACAGAACGTCTGCCTCCTTGATCTTGCTGGTGTTGAAGCTGAAGAACCCTCTCCTGAAGACTTCCGCGTCCTGCCAAAGGAAAAGCGAATTTCTGGTGAACTGCTACATTCCGGTGATGAGATTGATTCAGTTCCAGATAGATTAAGCCTTAAACTAGGCGATGAGGAGCTTTCATTTGGCTTTTCAGAGATCCTTTGCGCACTGATACCTCTGACTAGAAAAGGTGAAGACGGACTATTGTCACTTAAATTGGAAACCGTTTCATCTTCTGAATTTGATTCTGCAGACAGTGTGAATTTAACTAAAGGCTTCTTTATTGCATGCTGCTTACTAACAATGACTAAGCCAGTATTATCTCTCGATGATGTATCATCATTAACTTTTGCAGCAATCATATCATGGATGTTATGTTTTTTGCTTTCCACGGATGATACTGAATTAACTTTATTCATGTTTTTAGATTTGTCTGCTGTGGCATTAACTTTGGAAGACACAACTGTCAGTTAAAACCTCATAACAGATAATAAATGCTAGAGATGGTTTGCAAAGTCCTGTAAATGATATGCAACTAACTTTTCACTGTGGCATTATCTTCTTCTGCTAACTGAACTAATTTCCAACTTCTTTTTTTAATATGATTCACAAGGATTGTTATTTGTTTTATTATACATCTAGATGTTTGCTCTCTGTGTTCACTGGCAGTTGTTCTTTTCTTCACACTCATCTGAAGCTGTTCTTTCACCATGCCCCTTGCAGGCATAACTTGACACACAACCCTGAAGGTGATGATTTTCTGTATCTTGCCATGACTGGTCTGCCATGATGTCCAAAAGCATGTCTCTGTGAAAGAGATTTAAATAATAGTCAAGTGAGAACAAGCTCGTTGAGATGGGGTACAAATTCAGGCGGAAACAGTAAATGAACAATCTTGGATGAAAACTCGCTACAATAAAAGTTAACATGTGAATTGCGGACTTCCGGCGACTATATAGCCATGAGTATCTCCTGCTCTGCTACATGTGGCACAGAGCAGGGCTAAACTAGATGGCTGGGACTCACAAGCAAAGCTGCAGGAGATGCAAAACTGCTGCTTGTGAGTCCCAGCCATCTAGCTAAGCCCAGCTCTGCGCCACGCGAACCGGGAGATACTCTCGGTATAGTCGCCAGAAGTCCGCAATTTACATGTGACTGAGGCTCTGTCAGGGTGTGTTTTTAGCCGCCATAATATGTGGCCGTTATTTGAAGGATAGCCCTCTTACCTATAAAACTGTGGATAATAAATGCGTATATGTGTACCGACCATGTCAATTAATGTGCTGTATATACAATAGTTATGTTTCTACAACTAAATACCTCAATAAAATTATAATTTAAATTTAAACATAAATGGAATACTTAATGTTAAAGCTCACTTAAAGTAAAAGTAGAAAGAATCGCCTAAATCTGCATGTGTACATTAACGAAATTCAAATAATCTTCCTAAGTTGAATTTCACTTCCTTTAATCTAATTCAGGTTTAAAACATTTAATCTCAAATATTGGTCAGATTCTACAATATCTGTTTAAATTAAAAGTAGTGCTTATGCTTATTAGTTTTAAATTACTAACGAAAATCAATAATAATTATAATTTTTATTGAACACATGTTAATGTTACTATTAGTAACACAGCAACTATTACTGTGGTTGCAATTATTTATATTATTAATGCTTAATTCGTGCAATATTAAATATAAATAATCAAATGTAACAGTCATTTAATTGACAAGCATAAATGACGAATATTAAAATGCGGTGGGCGCACTGTATGTATCCCAATTATAACACATATGGGTTGAACAGGATATTGTTGTTTAGTTTGTCTGTATATGGAATTAAAAGATCGCGATAATCTGTGGCTAGTGGATAGATCATAGTTGATAGTCCAAGAGCTAAAACTGAAATAATGATTTTAGTTAACAGGAACTCATTTTATTAAACCTAGAATGCACGATTAACACTAACTAAAGAGTTTTTAGTTACAATTTCACTAATTTTAATATTAATAAACACAGTACTTCCAACTAGTATCAACTACTACTATAAGTTTTTAACTATTTTAAATACTATTTAATTTTAAAGTATACTACTATACACTCACATTATTATTATTATTATTATTGACACTATCGTATCACTAGACAATTCTAATGTAATACTAATACACTTGCTACACGCAGCAGTACTCTAGCAGTAATCTGACTAAACAACCGAAACTAACACAACAATCCACACAAAAAAACACTGAAATACTTGGGAAACAACTTGCATCATGACCTAACAACCTACCCCTTTCTTCAAAATGTCGCCATCCTCCAAAGATTTACCCTTTAGGCTTGGTTGAGCACACAAGCTAGAGAAACAACAGCAGACGCTGTTGCTTCCTTCCTCCAGGTCTGCCCATCATCTGGCCAGGTACCAGACGCGTGTGCTGTCAACATTGATATATTAACATATAATTATGGTTGCTAGTCTGGCTGGTCTTAATTTGCTGATCCCAGGGCTTATTTTCTGGAAAAACGGTGCCGGTACTCATCACAAAATTCTAAACAAGGTTCTGGTGCTCATCACAAAGTTTCCCCTATGGTAGCTCTGTAAAAAATTATGTATGAAAATGATGGCGGTACTGGCCTAACAAAGAATGCTCGTACCAGCGGACAAATTATAAAATTATTTACACGAGTCTCTCTATATTTTATTAAATGCGCTGACTTGATCCTTTTCTTATTAGATTCTCTTACACGTTTCTTGTCAATTTTTCATGTACGTTTTCTTATACACATGCTAATAAAGTGATAATATATCTTAAGACAGAGTAATGAAATCAGAAAGATCACTTTGAATTAGTTAGTAAGTTTTTATTTAGCTAGTTAGTTAGATTATCATCATTGCACCCTGGACATGTCTATAGTGCTCAGATTCTTTCCTCAGTATAAACCCGAGCGTCTGATGGCTAATACTACCCGTTCTATGCTGGTGTGATTCTCGTTTTTTGCTATGCCAACCTTAACTCTTAAGTCTATCATTTTCGCACATTCTTCCACTTTTCCCATTTCTCGGAGGGCATTAATAGTATCAGCATGATCCATAAGTTGACCGTTGGTTGTGATAGTGTATCCAGGCAAACTATCAGCTCATTCATTTCCAATGACGCCTGCGATCCCAGAACAAAATAAATTTGACTCCACGCACTGTGGACTGCTGCAAAGACTCAAGCAATTGCATTCGCACCGAACCTGCCTGAACACCGGATCATTGAATCACTGATTTCACATGCGCAGATCTAGTTATGTGTTTCAAACCATGCGAACGCTTGCGTTACTGAAATCACCTCCATCGTCATGCTGCTGGTTGTCATGGAAAAGGCGCCCATGGCTTCTTTAACTGTCCTGTCCGCTAAGCGTGCTGTGAACGCCAATGCGCTTCTTTGTTGGCGTGTAACGGATCCATCTATGTAGATCAGTACCTCTGCCTCGTCTGAATTTTCACTGATGAGAGCGTTGACCTCTGCATTGACAGCGATAGGATTCTGCTCCCTGCCTCGCCTGTCAAGTGTGGCAACACAGGAAAATTTACAAATAAACGCACAAGGCACTAGTATCCACTCTGCACCATGGGTGATTTCTGTTAGTTTTGCTTGATAACACTTTCTGCCCGACCTAGCCATGATCGCCCCAATCCCTCTTCAGACTGTCGCCGTTTTCACCGAAATGCGCTTGATGCAGCGGGTGTTTCTAATTAGAGCATATTTTATTGTATGCCCTAGCCCTCCAGATCCTGATCCTTTGTTTTATGGTTGGAAAGTCAAGTAGATATCTCATTGTTACACAGGAAATGTCTCTTGTACATCATCATCATGTTGCAGGTCCTTTGCAGAACGTCGCTCTCATCACAGTCTGCCTGTAAGAAACTCGGTCTCTTGCCAGTTCTCCCGCCTCATGAACTTTCACACTCAAGGAGTAACTTATATCCTGTGCCCATCTTCCAGTCGGTAGGCCCCTGTCCCTCCTTCCTGGTACCATGCCTTCTGCTATAATTTTTTTCCAATCCGTTGTGGCGCTTGATATTACCACAATATTTAAGCTTTTGAGAAAGGATGCTGTTTATTAGCCAATCTTCCTTGATTTTCAGATCTTTTAAGAAGTCAATATTTCTCATCTTCTTTGTCCAAGATATTCTGAGAATCTTTCTATAGCATTTCAGCTCAAAAGCCCCTATTCTCTTTCTTAAGAACTGAGAGATAGTCCACGACTCACATCCGTATGTAGCCACAGGGAAGATGCATGCTCTCAAAATTCTAATTTTTATCTTCTTGCTGGTGCTTAACCATAGACTTTTAAGGCTGTTCAATCTTTGCATTGCTATGGCCATCCTCCTTTTAATTTCTGTTGTACATACCCCCAAAAAATGCGCATAATTTCGTTTTGCATCTTTTAAAGTCACTAAATCTGTATAGCACTGACAGTGAGGATGACTAGAGCATATTCAAGGGAGAAGCGGGGGGGGGGGGGGGGTTATGACCAGTCCCGTAGAGCAGAAGTATTAGTAGTCTTTGCTCGATATTGGAAGCAGTCAATACCTTAATGAGCAGTTCCAAGTCGTTAGCGACAGTCTTCTCAAAAAGCTTGCCTATACTATTCTGCATCGAAATAATTCTGTAGTCATCGTTTTTTGAGTGGTCTTTGTTCGGCTTTGGAGTGGGAACAAATAAATGTGGAGCCGTTCCTCTTTTATCTGGCCACTTTGGATGCTAATATTAAATTCTCTTGTCACGCTCTTCATATCAGCATCTGATATTTTCAGCATGTCGTCGTATCGGATGTCGTCAGGGTCTGGAGCAGCGCTGCGCGATTTCTTGTGGCAAGTGAATGTTTCTAAAGATATTTTTTACAATATGATTATCATATTTACTCAAAAAGCTCACTTGAATTATATTAAACTTAACAATCTATCCTCAGTTAACTGATAATCTATGCAATATTAAATAACTACAAGGAACTGACAAACATAAGTGATCAGAAAGAATTATCATCACAGCACTCAGGACAAATCCATAAGTGCCCCGATCTCCTCCTCAAAAGCTCCACAAGTGTAAAACGACTGATGACGCCTGTTCTGTGTTGGTTAATAAAACGTCTTGTCCCCTTAGTGAAATGTTCATTTCTTGCAGCTCCAGGCTGCACCCAATGTCCATTAATCTAGACAGGGATATGAAATCATGTCCTTTGGCGTGCTCCTCTGTACGGTAAGTGCAGCGCGTGATATTGATAACATCACTTCTGTCCAGTACTGGACCAGTCATAGCAAACGCAGTGTCAGCAAGATAGTCTGCACGCTGATTCCCTTGAACACCCGCATTACCTGGCACAAAGATAAAGATTATGGCGGCTATTCGTTAAGTGCTTAGTGTTGTA